CTCCCACATGCGCTGATCAATCCCGATATATCGAATTGTTCGGTGCGATCTTCACGTCTCCGCGCAGTACGATGTAAATCTCGAGAACGAAAGGCGCGTGTAGGGTGTTGGATGTGGATATTGATACTTTTTAACGTGTAAAGGTTTGCGACTATCGGAAACTCGGATCTGATCTACGACGCTTCGGTGATATCAATCATATTATAATACGGCGGACGTCAGTGGTTTTTTAACGCGCCGCGTGTTTAATCCACGTGATTAACGATACTATTGCGCCCGCCAACAGGATGCGAAACAGAGATTGATCGCATTTCTGCAGGACACTACGGGACGTTTGCAATTGGGCGGCAGACTGCGCGTGGCCAATGAGGGGATCAACTCCACCATGTCAGGCACAGCAGACGCCGTCAGGGAATTCGCCGATGCGCTGACAAATTGGGCAGCTAAGGCGGGAAAAGGCCCTTTCTTGAATCCCACGCCCGACTACAAATACATCGATGATCTGCCGCCTGACCGCGCCTTCAAGGATTTAAAGGTAGGTGTGTGGGACGAACACGGACATATGTAGTTGCTATTGTCTGCCTTTGAGATTCAGTTATTTGGTTGGTATATGCAATGTGAGGGTAGCAAGACCGGTTGTCGCTGAAATCCTTTGGACAACCTCTGCTCTAGAATAGACCGCTTTCGCAGTACTTTTAAATGGCTCGTTGTAGATATGTTGCCAATGATCACAGCAAATTCACTGTTCCGCAATCGTGCACCGTTTTCGCATGTGTTTGACAAAACAGCCCACGTCCCATGCAACCGCCTACAAATATGATACAGATATTGCCTGTGAACGAGTTGGTGTTCTATGGTGTGGATGAGAAACATGCCCCATTAGTCAATGGAGGCACCCACTTGGATCCAAAGGATTACCATCAGAAGATGAAGGAAAATGACACCGTTATCATCGACGTGCGCAACCACTACGAAGCCGAGATCGGGCGTTTTGATGGCCAAGAAAAGGAGGGAGGCGCTAAATACATTGATCCCAAGATGCGCAAGAGCACGGACTTCAAGCAGTGGCTGGCCAAGGACGAGACTAAAGCAGAGTTGAAGGGCAAACAAGTTCTGGTATGCTGTGGTGGTCTATAACTTAATTAAATCTGTTGATGATGGAATGTGCGACCCACTGAGTTGAGCCCTCTCCGGGTTTTGATTGATCAGATCCCACTTCGGTTTGTTCCACACCACTGACACGACAAAGATAAGCACGCTCGCATTCGGAATTTGAATCTCATCACGCTTAGCTTATCACCACGTCAAGACCAAGATCACACGCTGATCTGGTTATTTTTGCATAATACTCAGATGTACTGCACAGGAGGGGTACGCTGCGAACGCGCGTCAGCACTGCTCAATACGGAGATGGGAAAGGATCTGGGCGGCATCTTTCAACTGCAGGGTGGTATAGAGAAGTATTTGCAAGAGTTTCCCGAGGGAGGCCACTGGCAGGGCAAGAACTATGTGTTTGATAAACGTGAGGCGTTCGGCGTGGGCAACCTTGCGGGTGTGGGCGGGGTGGTGGAAGGGGGTAAGAAGAAGAAGGAGAAGGCTGGCAAGGGGCTGAGCGAGGGAGTATTGGGAAAATGCTGTGTGTGCGCGTGTGAATGGGACAGGTACATTGGCAAGAAGAAGTGTTACACGTGTGGGGTGCCTGTGCTCATGTGCTCTGCGTGTTGTACGCTCAAACCAGACAAGACTCCTGGCAAAGAACTCACAGTGCGATGTCCGCTGTGTGTGCAGCAGAACATCACTGTACCAGCAGCTGACGTGCAGCTGACCGACAATGGTGTGGGTGTGAGTATTAGCAAAAAAACTAAATCCGATGGCGGCAGAAATCGCACAAATGGGAAGGAAGGCGAGGGCAAATCCGCACCCAGTGTGTGCAAATGGGGTGGAGGACATGCGGTGGACAAGAAGAAGACACGAGCGGTCAAGACCTTTGGAAAGAAGTGCAAGTTAGGCGACGAGTGCACCAGGTCTGCATGCTACTTCACACACCCCAAGGACGCGAAGGCTAAAGCGAACGAGCACAGTAAGCGACCGCATGACAGTGGTAGTGCCGCTGAGGTGACCAAAAAGAGGAACGTTGATACGACAGTTGAAAAGGGCTCGAACATCGACATTCTCAGCAAAGTCATGCTCAGTGCCAAGGAGAGGAAGAGTGTGTCACAACCCCACGGTGACAAGGAACAGAAGATATCAAAAAAAACGAAAATCAGCAAGAAATTATAGTGGGTGGATAGTTAAGTTGGCGTTACATCCTGATGCATGGCCGTGGTAGGTGGAGTGGCGAACATTGGCGAAGAAGTGTTTAGCACGGCGGATTTAGCACAATGTGTGCTCTCAGCGGGTGTTGGAGTTCATGCGCTCTCGCCTGTTACGACTGAATGTAGTCATCTCGTAAATAGTGTTTGAAATTTGGTCGCTCCTTTTACCGTCCTCTCGATTTTGATTGAAGGTGTAGTGCTGTGTACTTATAGCTGTAATTGACAAATAAACCACAAAATACCTGGTGTCGGCCATTCATGATACTTAAATCCCTAAATCGCTTCCATTACGCAGAACTATTCGTGTTATCTATCTTAAATTTCGGAACACCAGTGGTTAAGATAGAGATTTGATGATCGAATTTAAGAGAACTTTGGTTCAAACAAGTTCAAAATCACTCTTTAATATTAATCATGGCATTTTACTAATCAAATATTATAATTACAAATCGTAACAGCCGGCATGAGAGCTAGTCCAATTGTAGCCCTCAGACGGTGCTGTTCAGCTACCGATAGTTGAAGTTTGAAATTCATAGAACATCGGGCGTGCGCAGAAGTAGAAGTGTTGTGCATCACGCGAATGAAATTGTCAGATATTTACAAGAACTCACATGTCCGCGTCCCGACAAAACCTGCTAAACCAGTGCGCCACTCCTTGACGGTTTGACTGATTGGTCAGTATCTTTAAAGCTCGTCGTGCGTGTCATCGGCAGTGGCATCGTCAGTGGCCGCGTCAGCTGCACCCGCGTGCTTGTTCATGTAATTGACAATATCCTCAGTCGAGCGTTGTCCCATCCACTCTTCAACTTCCTTGCCATCCTTGTACAGCAACACGGTGGGGTAACCCTCAGGCGCCAGCTTCTTCAAGCTCTCCTGAACGGTGGCATCTACCTCGGCTAGTACTGCCGTGGAACTCGCCGCCTTCAACTGCGCCGCAGCCTCCTTGTAGAATGGAGCGAGTGCCTTACAATGCCCACACCATGGTGCGTATACCTTGATGAGCATGAGAGGGTTGGCTTTGATCTGCTTCTCGAAGTTGCCCTCGGTAAGGATCATGACATCGTCATCGTAAGTAAGTTCGCCTGATGCGGCCTCGACGGCCTCGTCCGCCTTGACAGCCTCGGCGTTGTTCTCCTCTACATTAATAACACCAGCGGCCTTATTGACATACGAGACGATTCCATCGGCTGTGCGGTCTGATCCCATCCATTCCTCAATCTCTTCGCCTGAATAGCATATACAATGGGAATGGTTAGTTACTTGGCTATATAGAGCTGCTGGTAGCTAACCACCACAACGAAAGTGGGAAAATCTAACAGCATCTGCACGTTCGTCCCAACTGCTATTTGATTTTCGTACAACAAATACAGTAACGTATGATAACATGCTATATAATATTCACCTAATACTGAAACAATTACATCATGTGCCGCCCAGTACCATATATTCAAAAGCACATTCACTAAACTGTGGAACATACCGTTCTTGAATAGCAAAACGGTCGGGTAGCCGTCGGGTGCGTATTTCGAAAGACTATTTTCAACTGTGCAATCGACCTCAGCGATCAAAGCCTTAGAACCAGCAGTCTTCAACTTAGTAGCTGCCTCTTTGTAGTGGGGTGCGAGAGACTTGCAGTGTCCACACCACTGTATAAGGTAGTTTAAATATACAACAAATAATTAGTATGGATGACTAGACGGACAAAAGCAGAACATTGTTAAATACTTCACCGGCACACGAACGCATTGCGGATCGAATACAGAATTGTTCAAGGCAACCAACGATCCCCAGCTAAATTAACAAACTCGTTATTAGACTCTCCATGGCCGAGAAAAATTGCAATCGATCACGACAAATCTACGAAACAACACATACCGGCGCAAAGAACTTGACGAGGGCAACTTCGGCACTCTTGATCTGAGCGTCGAAGTTGGATTCTGTAAGTACCACAACATTGCCATTGGCCGTGAGCTCCTCAGCGGCCGGAGCGGCCTTCTCCTCCTCAGCGGATGCACCGGTCTTAGACTTGATGAACTCAATGAGGGCATCCTCTGTACGTGCAATAGAGTACTTTTCAACATTCTCACCCTTGGAGAAGAACAGTAGTGTGGGGTAGCCCTTGACTCCATGTGCTGAGCAGACATCCTGAGTGAATCGGAAAACCAACTAGTGAGCTATCGGTATTGATCCTAGATACTCAGTACTCTCAAACACAATTCCCTCAACAGCGGCTAACCATCAGAATGTCACACGAGAAAGTCCACGGATGGCAGACAATAAAATCGTAATTCCAGCCTTCCGCGCTCAAGTGTCTCGATGAAATTGGCGACGATACACAAACCTCCCTTTGAAGATAGCCACTTACCGATTGCTTGGTGCAATCCACTTCACCAAGAGAACCTTTGATTCCCGCAGCTACCAACTTCTCGTTGGCAGCCTTATACGCAGGCGCCATTTTCTTGCAGTGTCCGCACCACTGATAACGAAAACCGGAGAAGGAAAATAATCAATTACAATTAGCACAGAGCTGACATCTGATTCATAGCTCCGATAACATTCGTGGGTCACGGATACTTTGTAAGCGACAAATTCGAGAAAACAAGACAAAATGAAATGGCTACCACTTACAGGTGCGAAAAACTTGACCAAAGCGGCATCCTTAGCGACGAAAGCATCAAAAGTATCGGCAGTCAAAGACGGCAAACCATCGGTGGCCGCAGCAGACTTAGATTTGATAAACTCAATGAATACATCTTCGGTACGTCCCTTGGAATATTTCTCCACATTCTCACCGTTAGAAAAGAACAGAAGCGTGGGATAACCCTTGACTCCGTGCTTTGTGCATAGATCCTAAATAGGAATGGAGAAAAGTGTGCTTGAATCAGTAACATATATAGCAAAGGAATAGCCAAGATTACTAGATAGTTCCCAATGGCCCCGGGCGTAAGAATAGATACCGCAGAACGATATCGAACAGCTGAGCAAGCCCAAACCGGTTTTTAACAATCTTCCTCGTATGCAATACATGGCTACACACTTTTTGCACAGTGCAGTCGACTTCAGCCAAAGAGCCCTTAATTCCAGCAGCTTCCAATTTTTCATTGGCGGCCTTGTACGCAGGTGCCATGTTCTTGCAGTGTCCGCACCACTATATTCAGATAAAAGTTAAAAAAGGTGAGAATTACATAGACTCACAGTAACGACAAAAAAAAATGAATGCTGTTTGATTTAGGAATTGGGCTCATGAAGTGAGTGACAATAGATATACATTATGGTGAGGTACGCGCCTCAGGAAAAACACACTATAGATATGTTCTACCTCAACAAAACAAATTACTTACAGGCGCGAAAAACTTGACGAGAGCAGCATCCTTGGCGACAAAGCTATCGAAGGTATCGGCAGTCAGCGAAGGTACGCCATCAGTAGCCGCCGCGGCGGGTGCCTCCTTCGCCTCAGCAGCAGGTGCGCCAGACTTGGACTTGATGAACTCAATGAAGGCATCCTCAGTGCGTCCTTTCGAGTACTTCTCAACATTCTCGCCCTTGCTGAAGAATAGAAGTGTGGGGTATCCCTTCACTCCGTGTTTTGTGCATAGTTCCTGTGCATATAGTGAGTAGGCGATTAGTATATATTGGAGGATGCAGAGCAAAAACTTACTCTCCGAGTAACAGTACACCCACCTTATACATACTGAATCAGTTGTATGCGAACCTAAGGAACCGCGCCGTGTTATTTCTGCACATGATAAATTCTGCCGCGTATATATTTGTGTGGTACCACACCATGCGTTTGTATGCAGAAAAAATACAGGTCGACCCCCCAATGTCCTCGAAAAGTGCGGAGCATTTCTGGCTTTCGCCATTCTCACGCGTGCAGTACATGTCAAATCGGGAAATAAATTTAAAGTTTAGAGGTTAAAGACAACACACCTTCTCAACAGTGCAGTCAACCTCAGCCAATGTGTTCTTTAGTCCAGCGGCGGCCAATTTCGCATCAGCGGCCTTATACGCAGGCGCCATATTTTTGCAGTGTCCACACCACTGTGAAGATATAAGGTATGAGAAATAGATAAGTTAACCAGAAATGTAAGAGACTCAAGAATCCATGGAGAATAATTGTACAATTCTAGCTAATACCAGCTAAATTCTCGTAATAACATCTCCCATTGCAATGAACAAAGCGACTATATTATCAACAGGATGTGCAATGATACAGCAAGGGAAAGCTAACCAAAAATACATACGGGGGCGAAGAATTTAACAAGGGCAGCATCCTTAGCGACAAAGCTATCAAAAGTGGCTGACGATAATGATGGTACACCCTCGGCGGCCTCCTTCGCCTCAGCAGCGGGAGCGCCAGACTTGGACTTGATAAACTCAATGAAGGCATCCTCAGTGCGTCCTTTCGAGTATTTCTCAACATTCTCACCCTTAGAGAAGAACAACAATGTGGGGTAATCCTTGACTGCGTACTTTGAGCAAACATCCTTCTGCACGGTGCAATCGACCTCAGCCAAAGTGCTCTGGTGGCCAGCGGCGTTCAACTTCTCGTTGGCGGCCTTGTAAGCGGGCGCCATGCTCTTACAGTGTCCACACCACTGGATACGAATATATAGTGATCAAAGCGGTTAGACTTCATAACCATGCAATCAACATGCACGAAGACGATCATTACTTCAACCAAAGGAACAACAAATGAATGTAATCAAGGACGCAACGAACCCCTTAGGTTCAGCAACACTCAAAAACAACAACCATTGTAAAAAAAAATGAAAATACACATTCACAGATAACATTGCGTCATCGGCCAAAGAATCAAGAATCTGTCTGTCGACCTTATTCAATCAAGCTACATACAGGTGCAAAAAACTTCACTAGGGCAGCGTCCTTAGCAACAAAGTCATCGAAGGTATCAGCGGTAAGTGATGGTACACTCTCGGGGGCCGTGGCTGCGGGGGCCTCCTTCGCCTCAGCAGCGGGAGCGCCGGACTTAGACTTGATGAACTCAATTAAGGCATCCTCAGTGCGACCTTTGGAGTATTTCTCAACATTCTCACCCTTAGAGAAAAACAACAGTGTGGGGTAACCCCTGACTTCGTACTTTGAGCAAACATCCTTCTGCACGGTGCAATCGACCTCAGCCAAAGTGCTCTTGTGGCCAGCAGCGTTGAGCTTCTCGTTAGCGGCCTTGTACGCGGGTGCCATGTTCTTGCAGTGTCCACACCACTATGTACAATACATTGAAGGATTTGAGACCAATACGACATTGGGGCATCAAATAACGAAGGGAGATGACGAACGATTGAGGGTAAATGTCTAGGTATGTCTCAATGGGTCCCAATTTTCTAATTTGCTCCCAATAACTAGCCACTAAATCAGAGTAGAAAGTCTCGTGTTGCAGAACAAACACTTCTAACGAAATCTCAATATACTCACAGTGCGTCAAAATTGGACGCAAAAATAAACACCAGAAGTGTTAAAAAAATGTTGATAAACCGCAGCAATTCGAGTTACTTACAGGGGCGAAGAACTTAACAAGAGCAGCATCCTTGGCGACAAAGCTTTCGAAGGTATCGGCAGTCAGCGAAGGTACGCCATCAGTTGCCGCCGCGGCGGGTGCCTCCTTCGCCTCAGCAGCGGGTGCGCCAGACTTGGACTTGATGAACTCAATGAAGGCATCCTCAGTGCGTCCTTTCGAGTACTTCTCAACATTCTCACCCTTAGAGAAGAACAACAATGTGGGGTAACCCTTGACTTCGTACTTTGAGCAAACATCCTTCTGCACGGTGCAATCGACCTCAGCCAAAGTGCTCTGGTGGCCGGCGGCGTTCAGCTTCTCGTTGGCGGCTTTGTACGCAGGTGCCATGTTCTTGCAGTGTCCACACCACTATATTTGTGTTACAAATACGATTTGTGACGTTAATAACTATCGACTGATAAGCGTACGTTCTATGGGTGCGTGAACACAATCTGGAATAGAACAAATCTTTCAAAACGATCTCTTTGTGCTCGGTAGTTACAGTATAAGTACATAAGTAGAGCAAGAATATACCATGGTTCAGGCTAACAGAATACCATGTTTCAGGCTAACAGAATGGCTAGCTGATGGGTGTGCAATTTTTGTATATTTTGCACGATGACATTTGATCCATATCAAATGGCTATGCTACAGTTTGTGAGCGCTAGAAGTCACTGACGGAGGTGAAGTGCTAGGCAATGGCAATATTAATAAATACAAGCAAACTATTACTCCAAACTCAACTCACTAGAGCGAAGAATAGGACTCCTCAAGTCAATCAATTTCGGAATTTAATTAAAATACTACTCGCACCGCATGAACACTTGCACAGACGTTATAATTAAGGGCATAAGATACGGAGATACAACCACAGATGCCACATTGAACTTACGGGGGCAAAGAATTTGACCAGAGCAGCGTCCTTGGCGACAAAGGCATCGAAGGTGTCAGCAGTCAGTGAAGGCACACCCTCGGCAGGTGCGGCAGCAGCGGGTGCCTTTTCTTCTTCAGCGGGTGCAGCGCCTGATTTAGACTTAATAAACTCAATGATGGCATCCTCTGTACGTCCTTTGGAGTACTTCTCCACATTCTCACCCTTCGAGAAGAAAAGAAGCGTAGGGTAGCCCTTTACGTCGTACTTCGAACATACAGCCTGCAAAGATGCCAAGTGCAGTATTGTTAGGATGATGTAGATCTACAACTCAAGTGTTGTCTGCGATCCATTCATGGGCCAGTTTCAAAACACGAGGTTCACTGACACGTGTACCGTCACTAGTTCAATTCTAGAAGTGACTGATAACCTTCAGCACGCGCACTTGCCTACTCGGGAATGAAACACGACGTAGCATAGCCACCGCGAAACAGAAAATCTAATAAAAAAATCATAGGAAAGCTCACGTTCCTCGAGCCCATCAAAGTGGGCCTTAGGCGCAGAACCACAAAACCGGGACAGTACTCGTGATAGAATAGCTCAGATGCAGTGGCTTTTATAAAACCACTGGAACCTGGAGCGGATGCGAGTGTGGTACATATATGAATCAAGAACATTCCCATGTATGCGTTTGCAGTTCAATGCCATCCTCCCTATTGTAAATCTTATAGAGAGCAGCTTGCCCTTTAACATGAAGCGTAACACCACCACGAACTTATCTAACCAGCTATATGGAGCTCAACCGCACCAGCCGCCCAAGACATACTCGTAGGAAAGTCGCTAAACGCATAAAGAACCAATGCCCCTTGGAAAATTACAAGTCATATGCATCCTAAAAGAATATTGTCACCGCAGATCTATCACCGCAGTAAAGTAATTGTTTGGCTATACATGCTTGCGCACACGATCACGTACAACGCGCTGCTTACTTATAGTAAACCAGTATCGTACTAAGATAATAGAGGTATCCAAGATACCCGTGGCTTGCACGACAAGCAACAACTATATACAACTACAACTCATATGACTGTCAGAGAAGAACACGCACCGAGTTGACGGTACAATCAACCTCTCCCAATGATCCCTCGATGCCGGCGGCAGCCAATTTTTCGTTAGCGGCAATGTAAGCGGGCGCCATGTTCTTGCAGTGTCCACACCACTGCAATGCAATATGCATGTCATACGTTAGATCGATGAATCAGTATGTATGTATAACCATGCATTGATTCGCTTTTGGGTTTCAGCGCAAACAATAAAGAATTTGTATAAAGCAGTCAGAAGACCCACCCAAATCACTTACAGGTGCAAAAAATTTTATGAGTGCGGCATCCTTGGCCACAAAGGCGTCGATCGTATCGGCATTGAGCGACGGAACATCTTCAGCACTGACTTGCACAGCGATTAGCGCCACAAGGGCGGCAAAAAAAGTACGGGCAAACATACTGACAGACTGTGCGAGCACCTGTACAAGCAATTCTGAACTCAGATAGAGAATATGGAATGATATATTTAGTTATAAAAAAATGTTTGTGAACCGTGAACGTCTCTGGTGAAAAGTTCGTTTGTTTATTTTATAAACAACTTCACTTGTTTTTGACTCTGACTTTTCTGTGGTGATTAAAAAAATACCATCAAATGCATTTTGAAAAAACGGTTTTAAATTTACTTCTCAGCAGGTTTGTGTCAAATTGTCGATAAACCTTCAAACCCTCCGTATTTAATATACAACAATATATGATATTCTAAATTCGTGTGAAATTACTGAGGTGATTAAAAAAATACCATCAAATGCATTTTGAAAAAACGGTTTTAAATTTACTTCTCAGCAGGTTTGTGTCAAATTGTCGTTAAACCTTCAAACCCTCCGTATAAAAAAAATATATGATGTGAAATTAAAAAATTGTACACGAAATACTTAACCTGTGGTACCGAACTGCTTTGAACTATAATCGCTCATCAGAGTTTTTGGCGCGCTCAGATTTATGTGTGCCGTGTGGACGACTGGACGGTGTGGGCCTGTGGCAGTACTTTTTTTAATAAAAAAAGACGTTGTATAATTTAGAGAGGGCTATGATAATATGATTTTTTTCAACAACAAGATGGAATTGTAGAATACAGATATTCTGTCACATACATATAGCTTAGCGTGGGTGTTGCATCCTGTAGGAAATATTGAAAACGTTCGAACATTTTGGTCAGACCCAGCTCACCACTGGGTACTGAAAATAGATTTTAGAATATACAAGTTCTGATTGGCATATTTTATATTTTCTATTATAATAAAATCACAGTCTGTATATTTCCATAATCCAAAAGCTCGAAGGGCGTATCTGTTGACCAATGGGCAAACTGAAAATTACAACTGGGATGTTTCGCGCGAAAATGGTCGAATGGTTTGGATTTATTTTTTTTACAAGGTGCTTCTCCCGGGGCATGGAGAAGCTGAGAGGACTGTTACAAATATTTTTGGCGGCAGGAATTTTCTTAAAAAATAAAATAAAAACTGTTCATGATTTTTTTTTAAAAACTGTTTATTTACATAGCCGATTTTTAATTACCGTAGCTCGTCTGTGAGCCGTTTGTTAGCTAGCTAAAGCTCCAGAGAGCACGCTAGCATGCAAGTTGAATACACGGGCTAATAGTGAAATATGTGTACAATACTTATAAACAAATAAATAAAGAATTATCCACTGTAGCAATTTCTTTTTGAACAGTATGATATCCGTGGAGATAGCCTGGTTGATTGTAATCGCTAGGTACTTTTATAGTATCGCATATCCTGATATCCGCTTGTTGTTTAATATCTCAGAACGATCAGCACGTAGATTTGTGACGCGGTTTAAGATTATAGGAACGCCCTTCCCAAAAGCTACTCGCAGACAACGAAGAAATGACGCTATCCGTAGCCCTCAGCTATCTTCAATTGTCAACTAATGCTTCGCCGAGAACCCGTCTCTTTATCTAGATGAGCTCCAAAAAAAGGTAGAGGTGAGGTTCGGAAAGAAGGTGTCTATAACAACATTGTTTCCAGTACTACGCTACGATCTGAAGTACACACGTAGAGTGATGGAAAAATAGACCAGATATGCCTCTTTTGAGCTTCAGCTCGATATTTGTGCGAACTTGAGAAGGTGTAATTTAGATCATTCAGTGGAAGTTCTCTATATCGCTTATCCGGGTTCTATTTGATGCTGTGGATTAAATCATTCAGTAGGAGTTCTCTATATGGCTTATCTGGGTTCTATTTCATGCTGTGGATTGAATTATTCAGTGGTGTAAGTTTCGGTCTATTAAGGCTATATTAACGCATAAGAGTAAATAAACCCTTAGGTAAGTCTAAGTACACCAAAAACTGAAAGTAAATAAACCAAATGAGTCTTTTAGTAAAGTTAGGTATGCCTCGTCAACACAGCAATAGTCTGAGAGATTGTGCGGCTGATAGATTGCATATATGTAATCCTCTCAGTACTGTTTTCGCCGAAGGAATTTTATTTAGTGTTTCGTTGTCGCTCTAATAAAACCATGGTATGTTTCGTTGGGGCGAATCCGAGAGACTTATAAAATCCTATCTTTAGAAAAAAAAATTAAAGAATTAAAAACACTCTTGATGTCCTTAGGGATAATATTATTTAGTGATAATATTATTTATTTCAAAAATGGCAAGTATGTATGATACAATGTGTGAACATATGGAATCGATAACTTGCCACTTATCAAGAATTACCGACTTAGTTTT